AGTGGTTGGCGGCGTGTTGAGCACAGAGTTGCTGCCGCTGCTCGGGAACTCCTGCAGTTTGTCGTTCTCCATCGGCTCCTCTGACGCCTCGTCCTCCGGGCCGCCGTCCTGCTCGCCGTCCTGCTCGCCGCTCGGGTCCTCCAGACACGAGGGCATGGGAGGCGGCGGCGAGTTGGCCTCCGTGTCTGAGTCAGAAAACAACTCTTTGAGGGTCTTCTTGGGCCACTGCGCCTGGATGCTGGACCACACGTCCTTCTGACCTTTGGAGCGGACCGCCGGCCGCTCCTCCACGGGTCCCGATGGTTTCGCTCTTTTTTCAGGAATCTCCCAGAATCCCGCCTGTCGGCCCGCTTTGCTCTTCTCCTTCATCCCGTTGTACTTCTTTGAAGGGGGACCTTTGGTTTTTGGCCGACTGCGCTCGCTCTCGCCCGCCTGAGACTTGGTCGCCGCGACGCCTTCGTCGTCTGAGCTGCTGCTCTCGTCCCCGGGAGGAGCGGGCGCCCGTGGAGATCCGGCGGGGAGCCAGTCGGCGCTCCGGGTGCTCCTGGTCTTGGTTTTGGATTGTCCTTTAGGCGGTCTCTCTGCTGCAGGGTCAGACTTCCTCTTCCGGCTGCTTGCCTCTCCCTCTAACTCGGGTTGGCTCCTTCGCTTCCCGGCGTCCGAGCTCTCCGCCGCGGCCGGGTCGAGGGTCTTTCCTGAGTTTGGGGGGGGTTTGGGTCCTTCGGGGGGGGGGCTGCTCTCCCAGCGCTCTGAGGTCTGTGGGGGCTCGGGGGCCTTTCTGCCTCTGCAGCCCGGGTGATCCTCTTCATTGTGCTCGTCGTCGTCATGCTCGCTCTCGTCTGTGGACACCTCGGAGGCTGAAACAGAAGAAGAAGAGTGAGAGCGAGACGACAGGAAGCGCGTCACAGAGTGAGCGAGCGCTACAAGCTAACGAAGGTTGCTACCTTGCAGGCCATTGAGGATAGAAGTAATTTCTATAGACTTGACGGGAGACTGCTGAGTCCCTTTGTCCTCACCCTCGTCCATCTTAGAAAACACATCCTGACTCAGGCCGTTTTTGGAGCGTGGGAGGCGGTTGGGCGGGCCGAGCACGTCTCTGTCAGTGAGCCTCTCCAGACGCTCGCGCTCCCTCTCCGCCTTGTTCTGAGGGGACAAACAGTCAGAGGTTAACGTCCTCCAATCAAAACCAGGCTCAAGTCCAACAGTTAGAGCGCTGCACGCTCAAACTGAAGTAAATCTAAATAAACTAATATCAAACAGAATCAAATGAGCACTGATGCATCATGGGGGATGTGATGTACGCAGGCTAAAGAAGTCCAACGCCATGCAAAAGATCTGCGTTTTATTTGGTTCAAAAGAAAGCAAACAAACAAACTCATAGGCCCACCCAGGTGCATGCTGGTCCTCTACCTGCCTCTGGTGCCCACAGTGTTACAACAATACCAATGCAAAACTAAATTTACTAAACAAATAACTAGCAAAAGAAAATATTACCCAAAATCTAAAACATGTAGAATCTTTCAATAAACAACAACTCCCAAATATCAGTGAACTAAATCCCAAAACTAATTCAACAACAATTCAACTCTCACCTTTATTTTTTTGCGGTGTTTTATTTTTTGAACGTTCTTATTGGCCGGACGCACGATCTTATCCGCTTTGATCCATTCATCGTATCTGAAGAGAGAGGACACAGAGAGGGGGGGTTGGGGGGGGGGGGGGGGGGGGGGTTGGTGAGTGGCTCAGATCTCAGGTCTCACAGCACCCAGCACACCTCTACTGTCTGACCCCAGCACACAGGAAGTGTTCCCATGGTGTAATGTGGAAACAGACAAACCTTCACGATGAAGAAAGAAACAATATTTAGAGCGAGCACCACACATCATGTTCCACACAGTTCAGCACCACGGGAACTACGAGCTACGTTTGGGTCGTATGAGGAGAAATGAAACGTTTCACGACATCGCACACGACACACACAGAGAACATCCCACTGTCTTTAGAGTGCTAGAGGACCACACAACGACATGAGACAATGAGATGCTGGTTGCACTAGTTAACCTCCGTGTCATGGTACCCTAACACTCTAGTTAGCTCTGCTTGAACCCTGACCCGCTGGGGAGGGGGGAGAGGGTCGGGAGGTAGAGGTGAGTGAAGCAGTTCACATCAAATTATGAAGCTTTGAAAGAGTTCAAATTGAGGCTGTCTGTGGAGTTAGAGACAGACAGCTGGGGGACAGACAGACAGGGGGTTCAGTCAAAGTGTGGAAGCTGAGGAATGATCCACATCAAGCCCAAAACTCAATTCTGTTTCTGCCACTAGATGGCGCAGTGTTCTCCACAATCAGAGTACTGACTGAAGCAGAATTGGGAGGAAGGGATGTAGGACACCTGTGTAGAGGTGGTCCCTGTCAGATTAAATATGTCTCTTTTTTCAGGGTGAATATAGACGTTAGGTGATTTGTCCCCAGGTCCTGTCTTACCTGACGTTCCAGCCACAGTAGTGCACCAGGTAGAGCACCTCTCCCCCCTCCACGTCTGCCTCTTTCACAGTGGCCTCGTACGTCTTCAGATTGCGGCCTCGCCCATACCTCACCTGCACCTTCATCCCCGGGGGGTAACACTCAAACTCCTCCCCTTCCTGACCTTCCTGACTGCTGTCATCCCTGCAAGAAAAACAGTTCAGCACTTCCTGGCCCTAGGCTGCCCCACAGAGCCCCCGCCCACCCCCGTTTCCCCCCCAGCCTCGCTGCCTGCTTCCTGCTTCTAATCAATCTGCTGCCCCCTCAGCGTCCCTGACCCATTACAACTCTAGACCCTGACCTAGACACAAACATTAACTTCTTCTTCTCTGCTCTACTGTAACCTTCAGCAGCTGATCACAGAACAGTTAAACATCATTCATGAGGATTAACTCTACAGTTAGCTGTTAGCTAACAGTTAGCTGGCTAACCCCACACACACACACACACACACAACACACCACACACACACACACACACACACACACACACACACACACACACACACACACACACACACACACACACACACACACACACACACACACACACACACACACACACACACACACACACCACACACACACACACACACACACACACACACACACACACACACACACACACACACACACACACACAACACACACACACACACACACACACACACACACACACACACACACACGGTGTGAAACAAAGCAGCCACAAGGGGGAGCTAGAGGGAAACAGTCAGGAGATGTCGAAGCTGGAGGGCGGTGCAGTGAGTGGTGTGAGGTGCGGGAGCCACAGGAGCCACAGGGGGCGGGTTAGCGCAGCGAAGAAGCACGCAGGCAGCGCAGCAACTTAAAGCAAGACTACGGCGCCTGGAGGAAGCACCGCGAGCAGATCCAATCAGCTGCCAGAAAAACAACGACCACAACAACAACAACTGCTCCAAACAATCCTCTGAGGGAGCTGAGGGCCGACTCTGAACAACAACAAGAGGAGGAGGAGCCACAGGACGCTCTCTCAGACTGCTGACTCATCGTTTCTCTCCGAACATCAGGCGCTGTGTAACACGCTTAACGTGAGGAACAAACACCTGAAACTGTTTGAAACTGTTTCCATCAACACAAAGTTACCTCTCCTCAAACGCTGAATCAATCAGCTGTTTGATGAACTGACACAAACTTATGAAGTGATTCAAAGCTGTGTGGATTTTATGTTTCCCTTCTTTTATGGCTTTCAGATTGTTTTGGGTCATTTACACTCAGGTGTATTTTTACCTGTTCAGGTGTGCAGCAGGACGGAGACAAACATTCATCATCACTTTGTTTCACATTTTATTTCCAATTATGTTCTCATCATTCTTAAGTTTTACAAGTTTTTAGAGTTTTTAGACTTTTCCCTCATTGATGAATATCTAATGTTCCTCATGTCTTTCAGGAGCCACCTAGTGTTTAAAATGAGTACTGCAGTCTAAATTCTAAACATCATAGAGAGCATAGAGTGCCCGCTTCCATCGCTGCAACACCTGTTGGTTTGACCTGATAACTGCTCTCATATCTGGCAAACCAAGGGGCGTCCAAAACGGCCGTGTGGGGGGGTCACCTTAAAAGCGCCTACCTGCTCTGGTCCAAACGGTTCCAGAGCATTCAGGAGCAGAATCTAAAGTTAGAAGGAGGACATACTGGCTGCTGCATTGTTGTCAGAGAAGCCAGCACTTCAACATAGCATGTTTCCTTAATGATCAGATAGTAAGATACCTTTATCATCTCACTCACTACACATCTCACTGATTGGACCTTTAAATACAGACATATTTTAAAACGCTGCAGTGTTCGATGTTCATACAAAACATGAGCTGCAAATTGTAAAACACAAGCACCTCGCCCGATGAAGCTCTGACACCGAAATGTTGCCAATAAGTGTTTGTTTGTTTTTGATGGACACATCGCTCTCCTCTGCACCTCTCCTTGAAATTCTGTGAGGATCAGGAAACGTATGATCAGCATGTTGACAGCAGGTGACACTGGAGAGGTATGAACCGCCCTCAAGTTCAAACACACAAACATCACTGCATCACTCTATGACATCATGTGTTTCAGCTTCAGTCAGAGGGGGGGACTCAAACCAATGGCGGCTGCAGAGAGGACTACAGCCTCCGTACATGGGGCGCAACATAACCACCACTAGGCCATCAGACGCCCCAGTTGGAATCATCGTTTTCTAGCCCTGTAGTCCAAATGACCCTAAACACAGAGAGAGAGAGAGAGAGAGAGAGCGAGAGAGCGGGCGAGCTCTGAACCAAACCACAAAACATCCGACTCTCTCTCTCTAAAGACACTGAAGCCTCTGAAGCATCTAGTGTGCTAATGCATCAGTGACAACACTCACACACACATGGAACATTTAATCAAGCTGAACATCAAAAAGCAAAGAGAGAGAGAGACAGATAGAGGGAGAGAGAGAGAGAGAGAGAGAGAGAGAGAGAGAGAGAGAGACAGAGAGAGAGACAAGAGAGACATATAGAGAGAGAGAGAGACAGAGAGAGAGAGACAGAGAGAGACATAGAGAGACAGAGAGAGAGGGAGAGAGAGAGAGAGAGACAGAGAGAGAGAGAGAGAGAGAGAGAGACAGAGAGAGAGACAAAGAGAGACATATAGAGAGAGAGAGAGACAGAGAGAGAGAGAGACACAGAGAGAGAGAGACAGAGAGAGACATATAGAGAGAGAGAGACAGAGAGAGAGACAAAGAGAGACAAGAGACAGAGAGGGGGAGAGAGAGACAGAGAGAGACATATAGAGAGAGAGAGAGAGAGAGAGACAGAGAGAGAGAGACAGAGAGAGAGGGGGAGAGAGAGACAGAGAGAGACATAGAGAGAGAGAGAGAGAGAGAGAGAGGGAGAGAGACAGAGAGAGAGACAAAGAGAGACATATAGAGAGAGAGAGAGAGACAGGAGAGAGACAGAGAGACAGAGAGAGAGAGACAGAGAGAGAGACAAAGAGAGACATATGAGAGAGAGAGAGAGACAGAGAGAGAGAGACAGAGAGAGAGAGAGAGAGAGACAGAGAGAGAGACAGAGAGACAGAAGAGAGAGAGAGAGAGGAGACAGAGAGAGACAAAGAGAGACATATAGAGAGAGAGGAGAGAGAAGAGAGAGAGAGAGAGAGAGAGACAGAGAAGAGACAAAGAGAGACATAGAGAGAGAGAGAGAGAGAGAGAGAGACAGAGACAGAG